TAACCAAAAAATTATGAATGAAAATTGTATAAACGCACATACATAACTACATATGTACATATACGAGTATTTTTATGCATGGCGTGCTAACTATATACACGTATGTACATACATATCTCGCGAGGCAAAAAAGAGTTAATTATGGCATTAAATTTACATTAATTCATAAACCAATTTATATATATATATTATTTTTTTACACATACATACATACATACACATTTACAAGTGATTTATTGATAACAAACACAGAAAACATATTAAGTAATTAAGGGTAATTGTCGCTCATAGCTCATCAACAGCTAAGGTAATTTTGTTTGGCTAATTTGAAAATTTCTGTAATTTCAAAATTTACAATGTGAATTGAAGGATTGCAGATATAAATCAATTAAATTAAATTACAAAACAAAAATATTAATAAGAAAAAAAAATTTATTAAAAAAACAAAAACATAAAAAAAAATTCAAAATTAAAATAAACAAATAAAAATATTAATTAAAAACTAAATAAATTAAAAAAAAAATTAAAAAAGCAAAAAATAAATTAAAAAATCTAGATATTAATTCACAAAAATTTTTGGAAATATGGTATTTCTAAAAAGTTCAATAAGATCGACAGCCTAAATGCTGCAAAAAAGGAATAGTTTACATTTTTAATTTTTTCTTTTTATTTTTTTATAAATACTTTTTTTTTATATATATTTTTTTTATAAATTAGAAATATACAAATCTATTATATTTCTTTTATACTTCTTTTATATTTTTTTATATATTTTTTATATATTTTTATATTTTTTTTATATATTTGTATATATTTTTTTTAAAACATTTTGTGAATACATATTTAAAAAATTTTTTTTATTTATATTTTTTTTATTTTTTATTTTTTTATTTATTTTTTATTTTTTTATTTAGTTTTATTAATTTATTTTTTTATTAATTATTTTGTTTATTTATTTTTTATTTATAAATTTTTATTTATTTTATTTTATTTATTTTTTTTTTATTTTTTTAATTATTTTTTTTACGTTTTTTATTTTTTTTTTTTACATCTTTTTTTTTTTTAATTTTTTATTTTTTTTTAATTTTTCTTAATGCATTTTTTTATATTTTTTTATTTATTTCCTTTTTTACTTATTTTTTTTTTTTATTAATTTCTTTACTTTCTTATATTTTTTATTTATATAGGTTAATTTAATATGTTTTTTTTAATCTTTTTAAATATGTAATGGTTTTTTCATAATCTCATAACGTTTTGCGAATAAATTTATGATTTAAAATTTTTTCGTCCTGTTTTTATAAAAAAAAAAATAACCAAATATGAAAGCAAATAAAAATAAGTATTATTGGCGCAAGAACCGCTAGGGAAATTAAAAAAGTAGACACGTAAAAGTAATTCACTGCAATTATCTACAAACTAAACCGAAGTTATTTATAATTATTAAATAATTGAATATTCGCTTAATAGTTGTTTATACGCCGAGTAATAACTACTAATTACACAAGCTCACATTATTCAATCGTAAATTATATATGCAAGTATGTATCTACGATAATTCTAGGTACAATGACAAACCTATTGCTAAAGAACATCCGATTGGGTACAAAAGGGCGCAAATATCTGCTCATAACAACGGTAAATAAAAAATAAATTTTACAATTATTAATATATATACTATATAGATATGAGAAAAACAAGCATATGTACGTATTATACACAATATCTTAAAGTTTAGCCAATCAGATGTATGTGATATGTATATATTTATGTATGTACATAATTATTGTAAATAGTCAACAGTAAGGTGCGTCTGTTTGTTATGCTAAGTGCATTTTTATCAAATTAATATATTCTAAACTTATGCGTAAATAAGTACACACATACATGCATACAGAAATACATGTATTGCATTTATATTTATGTATGTATATAGCTATTATAACTTTCATGTACTTAAATGAAATGGTACATTAACTTTCGTCCGATGTATATACGTTCATAAGCACCAGAAGGAGACAAGAGACTCATCAAAATTTATACCGATCGGATTAGAGTATTTTGTATTCTACAGCAAATATAAAAGCTAAACTTGTCACCAAAAATCATAGAAAACTAAGGATAATATCCTATAGCCCACATACAACTGACTTGTTCAGATATGAGAAATTATATAAAAAATCTGTCAAAACAACAAAAAACAAGTATGAAATTTGGGTTTTCACATTAATCCCTACAAATAAACATTGACAACAAAAATCATTGAAATCGGGAACTCTAACATATAGACTCCATACAACCGATTTGTTTGAATAAAAGATTTTAAGTCAAAAAAGCATGAGATTTGGTATGCTACGCACATATGTACATATGTACAATAAGTATTAACTCTGAAAATAATCGAAATCCAATTTTGCATTTTTAGAAAAATTTGATAATTTCATGAAAGGTTAAAGACAGCGCTTGTTTCTTTTTTTTGTTATTTTTATAAAATTTAATTAGGTGAATGCATAGACAATTTTACAAGTTTCCGGTCACGTGCAATGTTTAGCTTTAACTTATTTTACGGCATATTACGGTATATAAAAAATATTTATTTAATATAAAAATAAAACAGTATATATATGTATTTACATAAATACATATATAACATTTGATTACATTTTCCTCAGTTGCTTACTGTAAAACGTGATTAGTCATTAGGGTTTAAATATTTTGACGTTGTTAGTTATTTTTTTTTTGTTTTTGTACTAAATTTTAGGGTCAAATCAGTTGATGATTCGCCATTACACTATTCTATGACGATGATTGTGTGTAACTAAAAATACGTTATTATTCAATGTTATGTTCGAGAGTAGTAAAAGCAAAGCAATACTAAACACAATAACAGCAATGGAAAATCGTTCGATATTGTACTGAATGCCAGCCAAGACTCTTTCTTTTACGGCTACATTTGCCAATATACATATGTACATGTGCATACATATGTAGTTATGTACTCATATAGACAATGAAATCACGCCACTTTTTCGCAAGTAAATACAAACAAATTTCATTTGTGAATAATAAAAACAAGTTTCTACTTATTTTTTCCATATTGACCCACACGGAGTGGAAACATACATATGTACATACATACTATCATAATTATTTACAAACAAGCTATACAATGATGAGATGATATTATGATTCACGTAAATTAAATTTTAAAATTATGCATATATATGTATGTACGTCCAAAATGTGGTTAGAAACGTCAACGGGCGAAAATATTACATGTGCGAATATATGTATGTATATGCGGATAAATATTTTAAATTCTAAATTTTTTTTTTACGTTTAGAAGCACTTCCGACTCATCATTTTCACATACATACATACCTATGTAAAATGATATATTCATTATTTACGAATTTTTTGCAATTACTGGATCGCTCCTAGCAGAAATATACACATTTTTAAGATATAAGCCACCTTGAATGTGGGTGTGGCTCGTGCTCATTTATTCGTCCATGAATAAAATTAAAAAAAAAGACACAATCAACACACAAACATATGTACATTTTATGTACATTGTGCGTGCTATTTACAGACCGTGTTTGTTTATCGGCATCTTTGCAGAAATTCCTCAGACAGCTGTTTTACTGTTGCTATAATATTGTACATAAATATATGTATGTACTTATAAATACTTTATTAACGGCTTATCTGCTATGATTGCTCATGGTTTGAGGGAAATCTGACTCTGAGCAGTAAAGCCATGAGCCAAGAGCTAGACATCACGCGATTTTTTTTTTCGTTTTGTACAGTTTATTGTGGGTTTTTGATAATGAGCTATATAAACAGAGAAAAGGCTAAAGTGAGTTGTATAGTTTTTTGTTTATTAAAAAAAAAAGTTATCACTAATAAGGATTATTAAAATTATATTCCTATTTAATAGTATTTTTATTATCGTCATAAATTTTTGTAGAAAATTGATTTAGCTGTTTCATGCTTATATTCTTGAATACATAATTGTGTATATACATATGTATGTACATTCATAAAAAGCTGATAAAACAGTGATTTGAGTATTTATTCACAGATAATCAAATGGGAATTTCAATATTGCTGGACGAATGATGAAGGGAGGGGAGATAGGTTTTTTTAGAGCGAGGGCGTTAATTACTCGCCAACTTAGCAATCGTATTTGCACACACTCATAAATATACAAACTAAATTAAACATTCAATTTTTTCTTTATCAAACTTATCTCTCATTACTTGAATGCGTAAAAAAGTAAACAAAACATATTTTTTATTGAAGTGTGTACCTACTACATATAAAAGTTCGGTGCGGTATGCGAAAATTTAGCTGACGCAATAAAATAATTGTAACACCAAACATACATAACATCTTCAAAAGCTCAAACAGTTACACTTCTACTCAAATTTGTCCGCTTTTTCTTCGCCTGTAGTGAGTTTTTTGATCACTGACAGTTGCAGTTTGAAATACAAACTGAATTTATATTCATATCAGTGAACGGAAGTGTATGTTTTCACTTTAAATTTACATATGCACATGCATATATTTATGTACGAGTGTGTGGATAAATCCATATGTATGCTTTTAACACGGAAATGAACACAAAATTGTTGGAGCGGCACAGAAGCACACAGCGGCAATATTTCAATCAACAGAAATAACTTAATCCAACTCAAAATGCCTTAAGCATACAGATGAACGTTCAAACACTTGACATAGTGAACCCAAGTTGAAGAGCAGAAGTGAAGTTATGAACGTTTGGTTTAGCCGCCAACGTGTCATTTCGTTGCCTTAGCTAAAATATATTTTTAGCTTAAAGAGCATTAAGCATTTTTACACGTATACGTAGTAAACCAGAGTCATCAATTCGATCTCTTGCATATTACAAACTAATTGGGGTGTATATTTTGTCCTAATTGCTTATGTTTAATCCTAATTTATTGTACACTCTCCACATATGTAGAAATGTATGTACCTACCTGCTATGGTAAAGCGATCCATATAGTTGATTAAATTTACAAAGCATAACACCACCACCGTAAACCATTGTGTTCTTGTGATTCCGGTGGCTGGTCTTTGTACACCAACGCTATCCGTATCTGATGATGGAGGCATTAATTGCTGCGACGAACAGGTGGCGGGTAGACTAGCTTCTACAGTATTACAGTCGGCCTCCACATCACCACTGGACCCTGACAAAGCGGGATTGTCCATTTTGGCTATTGGCAAATAACGAGTCGACGATTGTGAAGACATTCACGTGGAATTTTCGCGTATAAAAATTCCAAACACAGCCTAAATTGATAACCGCACACACACGTACACCGCAGCAATTATGATCTGCGATAATTAATAAATTTTCCGTGAAAGTTTATATTAAGGAATTCACTTTTCTATTCCTTGTCACAAGTTTTAGCGGTCTTTGCGCTAATTTTATACCAAATACACGTTTGTTTGACGTTTCCTTGTGTACACTGTTTTAGCGAATTTTTTGCTTTGATTTGGGTTTTGCAACTCACTGGCCTTGATATTATTTGCAATTGTATATCCTTTGTTTAAAATTAACTTTTGTTTGATTTATTTGCGTGACACTAACATATTTTTGTTAACATTTACACAATCTTAAATTAAATTTCTATTATAATGTATAATAATTTATACTCGCACGTTCACGTAGCCTAAAAATTATTTCCTATTTTTAATAATTGCCAACTAAACGCGAGAGATGTGTAAAATCAACTGCGGGTGCAATGAGAAAATCCAACAATTTTACTCAATTCTGATTGGAGTTTAAGCAGAGTTGCAATCGGAAGTAAGTAATTTTAATAGTACTAAATTCCCAGACATTGTATTGTAGTTTTGAGCGTATAGTCAATTTTTAGAAAAACATTAATTATAATGCTTCAAACACAATTAAATATAATAATAGCTAATGCTGTGATGGCAATAAGAGTTTAATTTGGAAAAAATTAACATGTTTGAAAATGAGAGCAACAAAGAAAAGGCAGCCCTGTTGCGACGAGAAAATCGAAACTGTCAGAACTGACAATTCAGCGTTGGCAGTGTTCATGGTACTTTCTTTCATTAAAAAACTGTTAGTTAAGTACAATTCTTTAATGTTAGAATATTTTGATTTTAGTTGATTTACAATACAAGTTTAATAAATGTGTTTTCTCCAGAACTGTTGTGGGCATAAAATGAAGCCAGATAAAAAAATTTTAACATTAATTTTAAATTGTTATAAGATTCGTTTCCGGCGGAGTTAATACTCGCAAATCTTTATTTCCGTTTTAGTCTCTTATTTTCAGCGGTAAGTGAACTTCATAACATTTTTTGAATAATTTTGCCAAGCATAAATGTATACTAAAAACTGTTTTTCTTCAAATTCATACTTCTTTCAATATTTTTTTTATGGAAAATACCACAAATTCATTGAAAAATTCGAAGTTAATATAATAAGTTCACAACGTTATACCTACCAAAGTAAGTTAAAAATGATTAGTTGAGCTAGACTTACATGTGGCTTATTTGTTTCTTTATTTATACAAACAAATTAAGTGGGTAAGCTTAAATTAATTTAACTACTCTAAACTAAAAATAAATAATTTCTTAAGAAATTTAGTTTATTCCGGCTCGGTTTTAATTGTTATAAGGGCATCGAACATTAAGCGCATTGCCTTTGCTTGTTTGACTTCACTCATTTCTGATAAGATTGCCACAATGGTTTGGCCAAAATAATAAATAGCATTATTTTCCTGCCCTCCTATCGAACTTTTCTCGCATGTTTCGGTTGCCTCATGAAGGGATTGTTCATCATAATTTAAATATTCCCTTGTCGTTAACTCTTCTCTATTATCTGCGCTGCTTTCGTCTGCTGACGATAGCGGATCACCTTCCAAACGAACTGGAGTAGCTTCCGTGTACAGTTCTTTTTTACATATCAAAGCAGGAGAATTGGATGCCTCTGAAGCATCTACGCTATTTTTGCAGACACGTTTACATTTTCTCTTTCGGTACGGTCGCTGTTTAACATAGTTCTTTAAAAAGGAAAATGATGTAAATAAAGGCCAGTCCATTTCTTTATCTGTTTTGCCTTCATAAATCTGTTGCCTAAGTTCTCTGGTAAAACGTTCTCGTAAGCTTTTCCATCTGTTGTAACATTCTTCAGCTACAATAATATAATGTATTATTCTAAGTCTAATGTAATATATTTCAATGTAATATGTGCACCAACCAGTAACGCACAATTCCTCCGCGATTTCGTTCCACGCTTTTTCTTTTTGATCAGAGCATTGGTTGCCAAAACCTTGTTTGTTGTAAAGTATTTCATGTCTCCGTACCAGTTCTATAAGCTGCCCGTTGTCGACTAAATGTGAAAAAAGTTAGAAACAATTTTTTATTTTCAGTTAAAAAATTTAGTCGGTACTGTTATAAGAGCTTCATTCATACCTTCGGTTGCTTGAGATCGACCACTGAAATTATATTTTTTAAATTAGGTTGTATATGTTTACTGAAGAGCATTGAAACTTACGGTCGTTGCTTGACATATTCTCTTAAAAAGGAAAGTGAGTAAAATAAGAGCCATTCTGTCTTATGATTTGGTTTATTCGCGAAGTTTTTGAGTTCTCTAGTATACCGTTCACGTATACTTGTCCACTTTTTGAAACAATCTTCTCCTGTAGCAAAAAAATAACGGTTTAGTACAAAAATAGTAAATAACATAATGAAACCCTTTTGGATACAAACCTGTCATTCCTAACTGAATACCTATTTGAGCCCATATCGAACGCTTGTCAGCGCCTTTAAATCCCACGCATCGGTTGTTGTATATTATTTCATGCTTTTTTACCAATTCCACTAATCTTTCTTCATCTGTAATCCTAAGAAATCAAACATGAACAAATATTGGTTTAGGAAAGCTTTAAGCTTTGCTTTAAGGGAATCAAATATTTTGTGGTAAATATCTTAACATAGCACGTCCCGTTCCATAAACCAATGATAGCAGTGACACTTGCTATGCTATGCAACGCACAAGCATTTTGTTATAATTGAAAACACATTCACTTACATCCAGTCTATGCCATCAAATAGCGCGTCCATTTGTGTATTTTATTTCAAGGAATGTAATTGAGTTTGCTTAACACAAATGTTTTTTACAAAGTAAAACTTTTCCTCAACATAATAAATTATCACGTATAACAAATACTTTACTGTGCTAAGAGCTGTCAAAATACAGAGTTTATGTCAAAGTGAATGCTATTGTGAATTGTTTCAGCAAGGAGTTGCCAACCCACAAGAAGATTCATAATTTTTGTTCAAGAAATGGAGCATTTTTCTTATGTATTTTGGTGCTGGATGTTTTGAACATTAAACATTCTTTTGCTTATGGAGAAAAAACATATAACTACATGTAAACTTTACTAACCTCACTTTTGATGATGACTACTGCAAATTTTTAGTGACTGCGATAACGCGTTTTCTAGTATTTTATGTAAAAGAGTAAAGCAGTAAATAATGGGTTTTTAACATTTTTTTTTTCAGGCGTAGGCGTCTCAGGAAATGCGACATTCTTCCTTTGCTTTTGGCTTGACAGTTTACCTCTTCAACTCACTTTCGTGTTTTTGTCGACGCTGTGACGGTTCAAGTTTGTAGTTGGGGTATGCCGTTTTCATATACTCAATAGGTTCCTCGCGTATTTCTCAGGGTAAAACTTGTACTTTACCTCAATAGATGAAAGTTTCACCACAATACGCCCTTAAAGTGATGTTCTTTAACTTCTCGCTGATTTGCGCCCATGCCCTGACAGAAGAGCAGGATTATGCGAACAAGCATGCTTTTTATGAGCGCCTGGAGCGTACTTATGAGCATTGATCACGCCACAATATCAAAATTGTTCTTGACTTTGCTGGGGCCCGGAATTTGCCACTAGACTGTCTCCAGACCAATGAAATCAAAACTAGATCGATAATATTGTGATAGACGGAATAGATGTCTTCAGTGTTCTTGACGTACGTACGCTCCAAGGTTCCAACATCGACTTGGAAAACAATATCTTTCAGCAGCAAAAATGCGTACCCGACTCTGTGCAGCAAAAAACTACCTTCAACAAACATAACGAAAAAAAAGGTCCTATCACCACAACACACAGCTGAAGGATTTTAACTAGACTTACACTTTTTGAGAGCACTCATTAGCAACTCAGTATGAGGGACGGCGTTCCAAGTTCCTAATTTGTTTTCATAAAGGTCAAAAAAACAGCTGGTATACTGCTGATTGGGGTGCCGCCGTTGAGAGAAAACAGGTTGCCTACCTCGCAACCTCGACTACAACACGTGCGGTTTTGGATAGATCCCGATAACCGAAGAAGGGAGCGAGACATACGTGCAGGTTAAAAAAAGGTGCCGATATGCGTGAAAATAAGGATCTCATATCCAGACTATACTGCATTTATGGCATGAACGCTTCTTCAGTCTGCTGAACGGCAGTGGAACACCAGGAGACGAGTCTGATTTAACAATCGATAACGATGGAAGAGATGTTTCACTGCTGGCTCTGAAGCTCGAATAGTATTGTATTTACCCCGAAAAACAAGAAAGCGGCAGGCGCCAGTCGGCACCCCATTGGCCGGCATGCATCAGTTTCTTTGCGTAATATGGTCGGATGAAAGTATTCTTGGCGTTGAAACCAGGTGAAAAGATATAGAAAAGAAAAAATAATTTGGTTTATTTTCTACTCTTTATCCCTCATTCAACGAACATAAAAACGCTCTTCAGTAGTTTAGTGAATCAAGGGACAGCGATTATTTTGACTAAGCCGTGATGTTCGAAGCAAATGAAGAGGGAGACCTGCGCTTTTTTTTCCGCTTTTTTTCATTGTCTGTTGCTTCTTTTGGTAACGCGTGCCGCTAATATGACGTCAAAAGATTTTCGTGAACTGAATTTATAATTCCAAATTGGATTTACTAATGTATTAAAAAAAACTCGGTTTGTTTCAAAGAATTTGAAAATTTGTTATCTTAAATTAAAAATTCACTCATGAATACAACACACACAGTAATCTCTGAGATCTTTATGGAGCATAAACAGGGTTTAAAAATGTTGGTTAGAGTAAAACGGAGCTTATGGCGTTGCGTTAGCTTTGCGATTGCATAATTTCATTACTGTTAACCTAATCAAATAGATAAAAGGTATTGTGATGTGCATGTACATATATACTCGCATGCACTTAAATAGTGGTAAAGTGTCAGGTAAGAAGAAATGCTTAAACTCCTCCATAAAAATATATGTATCATTTCAAAATACTCAATGGACAGTCAGTCAGTACATGCCTATGCATATACGTATATTCAGACGATGTTAAAAACGCCCATAAATAGTACAGGGTTTTCCAATAAGAGGTGTTATTTTTATATTCAAAAAAAAACTTTTCTCTCAGAAGATCTATGGTTTCTTATTGATAGTAAACGCTGTTCAGATCTACATCATCCAATTTTGGTCATAAAAAATAATTAATTATTTCTCGATTACACAATCCATTCCCCGTTACCGTTGCTCCAGCCTCCCTCCGAGTGTATTTCTGGCATGAAATAAAAAGCTCCTCATAGAAAAACCATCAGCCGTTCGGAAGTGGTTTAGTATAAAGTGTTGGTCCCTCCATTTGTTGGATAAAAACATTGTTTATGCGTGCAATCCTGGGTAGCATTCATAAGATTCACCAACAGATGACGCTGCTGTTTTCGTTAATACCTGACTCTTCAGAGTAATGGGAAGAGTCCTGTTAGTCCCGTTTCAGTCTCCCACCTTCTGTGCAATTCTTACCGGTCTTCCGCCTCTTTTTTCCTCAATAGCCACAGCTGCAATATCTTTTGGTGAGTGCGTTCTTCTATATTATATTTTTTCACACGTATATGTTATATATATTTATATTTTGCCCACCTATTTCAATCAATTTTATTGAATTATTTAACATAAAAGACCCGTGTCTTGTTTTTATTTAAGAAGGTGTAGGCGGAATTCAAGAGGAAACAAACATCAAGACCCAAAATCACAAATTGGAGGAGGAGAAAAATCGCTTCAGCAATTACAAAGCGTGAATTATGTATATATGTATATCCATTGACCCACGTCAAATAGTTCCACGTTGAGGATGGCTTGATTTTTCAACAATAAATCATGGATTTTGCAAGCCGCAGATGCGACAGTTATACTTGTTGACGAAGTCATCGAGGTGGAAATGGGTCTCGTCAGTCAAGATAATTTTTCACTGAAATTTTTACTGGGAATATTAGTATAAACAAACTGACAATGCTCAAATTAGATACATATTTGATATTTGATTTGTTGTTAGTTTATTCAGTAATTATATTACAAACAAATTTAAGTAAGGAGCATTTCCTGTGCCAATTCTTTCGTTTTTTTCGTCTCGCTGATTCCTTATGCTGCTAATAAAGGGTTTGAAGAAATCAAGGGTTGATGTCTTGCAAGCCCATTGCTCGCTATTTTAGATATGCATCTACTGTCTCTTCGGTCTTTTTCGGACAGTCTTCCAATCAGACCCTCAATTTTTCCATTTACTTGCTTGCCATGTAAGAAAACTTTATGCACAGTTGGAGGCTTTATAAAACTTTAAAAATTTTACTAAATGTGTTTATAAGGCCCTCATCTACACCAATAATTTTAGAGACAGTTGCCATCGTGTACTACTCACTCCAAACATTGAATGCGAATTCGTCACGTAAAGCAAGATTTTGAAGACTGTTTTCAGAAGGGGGCCTAAAGGCTTAAGAAATGCATTGAAATCAATGGCGATTATGTACATAAGATAAAAAAGGACAAAGATTACGAATAAATACAAGATTTTTTTTTTGCCTTTTTTTCTGGCCAACTTACCGAACTTTAGTTAATCGTGAGATTTGGTATTCTACTCACATATATACAATCACATATTGACACCGAAAATCATCGAAATCGGAAAATTTCCTTTTTGTTTGTCCTGCCTTGGGCACCCTGTACGGGTTTTTTCTTCGTCCTACGTGATGTCTGTCGATTGCAGTTCATAAAATTTACTATTACTTAATTTTTTCTTTCAATTATGGCCACAAATTCCCACTGTGCACAATGTGTGCTTATAGAATAAATAAACATCCATTGATCTGCATCATTTGGGGTTTTTTACTTCTCATTTAAGACACCTTACGCATATCAATATACACAAACTTACTCTCATTCAGTCCAGGCGCACGATACCGCAAGACACTGGACATCAAACACAAAAATGATTTTATAATTTTAAATCATTAAAAATGGTCATACGCAATTGAAAGATTATTATTATGATGATCATTCGTGCCTTTCCTGCATACAAATCAAATCAATACTGTCGTTTTGCAAAGCTATATACATATATACCGTATATCTATGTATATGTATGTATGTATGAATGGCCATAAAAGTGCGTAAAACGGTTTAAAAACTCTTAATTAATTCATTTTATTCTATAATTTCCACACTATGCATTTCGTGGCGGAGGAGTGTACACGTATATATAAATACTCAAGTTCCTCGTCTCCCAATATTCAGTAGATAATTACACAAAGGAGCGTAACAACCCAGCCGCCGCCTGCAGAAATGGACAGTAAAGAGGCACGTGTTGTATTGCTGCGTATTTTGTTGGTAGCCGTAGTGGTGACTGCGGTCGCTGCACATTCGAAATATGTGCCAGCATTTGGCAAACCGAATAAGATAATCACCAAACCAATTGTTGTCAAGCCGGTGATTGTTAAACCGATTATTGTCAAGCCTGTACCGATTCCGATTCCAGTTGGCGGAGGTGGTGGTGGTCACGGACATGGGCACGGGCATGGTCATCATGGTCATCACGGTTGATAGTTGAAATAAAGTGTGAAATATTCAATTTAATTTGTAAATATGTATGTATATGTTCGAATATTTTGTAGTTGTATATTAAAAGTAAAATTTTGTAAATTAAAAATGTGATCAAATTGACTTTCTTACCAGTGAGAAACTTCCAATTTTAAGGCGAAATAGTAAGGGCAACCGAGTGGTTAGTACTGCGTACTGACATTCGGAAGGCTCGGGTTCATATGCCGGTGCCACTAACATCCGAAAGTTGTGGAAAATTAATTTAAATAAAAATTGAGTTAAATTTTCTATTGCGGTCTCCACTCGCCAGGCCACACACGTCTTTGGTGACGCGCCAGAAGCTCCAGG